ATTAGAATTGGGAGTTGTGCAGCCGTAATTGTTGACTTTTGGTGAATAGTGATAACTTTTTAACTTTTTAAGTAACTTTTTGGCTTTTTGACTTTTTGGGGTGTTCCCAAACTTGGCCTTAGTAACTTTTTGGCTATTTGGCTAAAATATGAGCTAAAAAAAACTAGTATGTTTGGAATGACTTTTTTGCTTTTTACGAAAAAATGTGCAAAAAGTAAAAAGAAAACAGAATCTTTGACTTTTTGGTATGAGTTGTTGGCTTTTTGGCTAATTTAGTAATTTTTTGTCTTTTTGGGTAAAAAGGAGGGTTCCCAAACGAGGCCTCCCCTCACTATCAATCCCCTCACTAAGCCTCGTTTGGGAACAGACTAATTTAGTAACTTTTTTACTATTTGACTAAATATGAGCTAAAAAAAATTAGTATGTTTGAGATGATTTTTTGGCTTTTTAAGAAAAGATGTGCAAAAAATAAAGAGAAAAGAAAATTTTTGATTTTTTGGTATGAGTTGTTGACTTTTTGATTTTTTTAGTGACGTTTTGGTTTTTTGGCTAAAAAAGTCGCTTGTCAAACGAGGCCTAATAATCTCTTCACTATGAATCCTTTCTATTCTATATCTGAAAACAAACGGAGCCAAGGAAAGTGTATGTAATTTGGCCTTTTTAAATAATAATAATAATAAAAGAAAAGAAAATTGGATATTAAGAAGACAAGTGTCTGTCTCTAGAATGATCTATTGAGAAATCCGTGCTTGTGTCTATGTTGATGTGTAAAATTGACTAATAAAAATAATGTAAAATGCTTGGGTGTTTTACACGTGTTAGCCACCCGTATGCGTGTTAAGTAGCTAAATGGTGCAATTTTCAACCTTTTAAGTCTTCGTTTGGGAAATGGATTAGCTTTTTAGTTTTTTAGTTTTTTTGGCTATTTTAGTCTGGGCTTAAAAGTTTGGTTTGGGAAGAATTTTTTGGCTTTTTTGAGTTTTTTTGTGAAAAAAGAATGTAATGATTATGGTTGGATGTAATGTTTTGTTTGTTATGGCTAAAATAGTCTATTTTGTTTTTTATGGCTAAAATAGCCAAAAAAACCTACAAACCCACTTGCCAAACACAGATTAAGTTATTTACACATTCACTATGAGAAATGTGATTTTTTTTTTAAAATAATAAACGATTGTATAATTATATATCAAACCAAGCAAAGACTCCTAATTTATTTATAAAAAAAATTAAATCGGTAATTATAACATATATTTTCAATTTCATTTTATAATTAAACAACTTATGTTAATTTAGTACTTAATTTTTATCAAATAGTTTTTTAGTTTAAAAAATCTAATATCCAATTTTTAATACTTAAATTTTAATTTTTAATTTTTAACTTTCAATTTTCATTTTTATTAAATACCACAAAAGTGTGTTTTTTAAAAATAAATTATGTGACATTATTTACGTAGTGATCCAAACAAATGATATAATAGGAAATCTTACAATGGGACATGATGATTCGCATTTGTTAAATAGTGGAGAAACAAATAATAACTCACTTAATGTGATACTTTAGGACTAATAAATTTTTTTTCCCAAAACTACTTAATTATTTTATGGGTAAACTATCAATAAGTTCTAATAGTTGAACTTTAATTCCTATTAAGTCATATTGAAAATAAGTCCTAATAAAATTGTTGCTAAAAACAATCACTTGTGACGATTTTTTGCATGTCATTACAAATTGATGATTAGTGACTTTTTTTGTTATGAATTTTATAAATTATCGCTAAAATTTACAATTAGTAACTTTTTTTGTAATGAATTTTTTAAATTGTTGCTGAAAGTTAAAAATTAATGACATTTTTTATAATGATTTTTTAAAACTTTTGCTAAAACTTATCATTAATGACATTTTTTGTAACAAAATTTTTAAATTGTCACTGAAAATTAGCAATTAATGATGTTTTTTAATATTGTTTGATAAAAAATATTATTAATTATCATAAGACCTATTAAACAATAAATTTACCTATTAAAACCTACCAGTAAGTTCTCTTATTTTAACTATTATTACAAAATAAAAAGTCATTAGAGTGTATCAAACAATATGACTTGTTTTATTTAGCTTTTGAGGATTTCTGAACTAAATAAATAAATGATATAATCTTTTTGAATTTCTATAAATGATATGTAACAAAATAAATAAATGATGTGAGTCAAAAAAATACATTTGTTTAAGTAAAGCTTAGTTTGGGAAGACTAAATAAGTGCACTTTTTGATTTTTTTTGTATTATGTGTAGAAAAAGTAGAGAGGAGATGTTGATTGATGTGACCCAAAAAAGATAAAAAGATGAAATAAGTGCACTTTTTTCTTTGTAGCCAAACTTGGCCTAAATGTACTTATCTATAGTCTGTGCCAAACAATCCTTATATAAGTATCCATTGCAAGATTGGCTTAGGCTAGAAACTGATGCGAACATCAGAAAACTCACTGTGAAACTGGATGCAAAAATGGTTATGGACATTGTTCAGGATAACAAATTGAATTCTAAGCTTAAAAATATGGATTTTTGACTGCAGGTTCCTATTGAATGAGCTGGAGATTTAAAAATTAACCACAGTTATAGGGAAGCAAATGCAAGTTTTGATCTACTGGCTAATCTAGGCAACATGATGGATTTAGGATTTCATTTACATCATATATTGTTTCTATTGCTTTCAATCAACTGATACTTAATGTCAGAGAACAAGCTTGTACGTCTTGGGACATAATCACGTGATGTTTTAAGTGAGTTGTGATTGGTAGATAAGGTGTAACCTATAATTTTGTGTTAGACGATTGAAAAACAGAAAGGAACATAATGAATTATGATTGGTCACAATAAAGCTATGTGATACTTTCAGACCAAGATATAATTTTTTCACTAAAAGATTAGCGGTTTGAATCTTTTTATTTTTGTGTAAGTTTTATTTTATTTATTTATTTATTTTTAAGCAGTGGATTCTGTTTCTTTAAACTTAAATTACTAATTTATTTAAATATCATCTATAAAAATTAAAATTAAAAAAAAAAAATCATTATAGTAGGAACTGGAGGAATACAAGAAGTTATTAATTGTAGGGTTTGAAATGAATCGTGCTGAGTCGAGCTTTGCTAAGTTTGAGTTCGAATCGATTAATTATCGAGTTCGTTTATTGAGCTCGAGTTCGGCTAGATAAGGAATTAAGCTCGAGCTCGGCTCGACTTGGTAATATTAACGAAACTCGAGTTCAGTTTCGTTCACCTTGATAAATTTTTTTAAATATTATTTATATTATTTAAATAAAAATATTAAAATAAAAAATAATATATTTATACTATTATTTATATATATATATTTATATTATTTAATATATAAATAATATATTTATTATATAATTTAAATAAAAATAAATGAGCTGAATTTGATGAGACGAAATTAGAAACACAAACCTTCATAGAAACAAAATCAAAAACACAAAAACACAAATCTAAAATTGGAATTAAAATCTTAATAGAAACTAACAGGTAAGTCCACTGACGGCGAGATGACTGAATCAAGAGGGGGTGACATAAATTGGAGTTCCGACGATGGCGAAACAAGAGAGAGAGAGAGAATTTTGTAGAACAGGAGCTCCTCTGGTTCGTAATATATATTACGTCTGTATGTATTGCCTTATTTCTTTATTTTATTTTATTTTATTTTTCTTTTTTTTAATAATTAAAGTAACCTAGCGGGACCTACCACTACTTCGTTGGCTTTCGCTAAATGTATTTGTTGTGCCTAGTCTTATTGAAAGGGCCATGCTACAGACCCCCAGTGGGATGACCCCCACTGACGACCCCCAGTGACGTGTCGCACTGGGGTTGGTCGAAAATTTATAAAAAAAAAAAAAAAACAGTTTTTTTTTTCCAATGGGAGCTGACCCCCAGCACCCCCAGCTGGGGGTCTCAGTCATTTTTCTTTTGTATGCTTGTGTATTTATTGATTTTTAAATATTTTTTTACAAATATTTTACTTTTTAAATACATCTAAGTAAGGTACATCTAAAAAAAT